TATGTGGAATTGTGAAAAAGTAAGTATGCCGAGGATTATATACAGGAATGGAGCGGGAACCGGTCTGTTTGTGGGGTCCGAACCCTCGGGCGGGAGCGCCGCCGCGCTTCCCAAGCGGCGCACTATCCAGTGCGCCACCGGGTCAGCCCGTTGTATGCTAAATTTCTATATGCACTTGTATTTGTTTCTGGACTTTCTATTCTAGTCTGCTTATCTTTTAATCTATTCATGTATCAGAACCAAGTTGTTTTAATATTAGAGGCTTTATAGTTTATTTTAATGTCTCAGAGATAAACACTGAAGTCTTTTTTTTTCCCATTGCCTCCTGATATTCTTGCATGTTGGTTTGTCCATGTGAACTTGAGTTAATATTTGTGTAGCTAAGGCATTAGTGATTTTTCTAAAGGGCCAGAAAGTATATGTTTTAGGCCTTGGAGGCCATATAGTCTCTGTTACAATTACTCAGCTCTGCCTTGTAGTGTGAAAGCAGCCATAAACAGGACCTTAATGAGTGAGTGTGACCTTGTTTCAGTAAAACTATAAAAAACAGGCAGCAGGCCAGAATTGGCCTGTGGGCCATAGTTTGCCAACCCTTAGTCTACTTCCATAAAGAAGCTTGTTATTTTTATTGCGATTGTATTAGATTTATAAATCTTATGAGGAACTGACATCTTTATGAAATTGTATTGTTCTATCCAAGAATAAAGGGTGTCTTTCATTTTTATTTCATTACATTTTTGGGTCTTTCAGGAGTGTGAAAGTTTTCCTCTTTTTATTTTACATAGTTATTGTTTAATTATTTCTGTAATGGATTGAATTAATTTCCCCCTAAACTGAAGCTTGAATTGTGTCCCCAAGTTTCATGTATTAGAAACTTAGCCCCCACTGGGACTGTTAAGAGGGTGGGAAATCCTGTTATGATAATTGAAATTGTATTGTTTGAATCAGTTTTAGCATTGGTTTTCTCTACGGTTTTCTAGTTATGCTGTCATATCTCCAAATTGTTTTACTTCTCCTTTTCAATTATTACATCTCCAATTGATTTCTCTTTTCTAATTGCATTTACTAAAACTTTCAGGTCAATATTTAATTAGAGAAGAGATTCTGACTACCCTTGTCTTGATCTAATCTTAGTGAAAATGACTCTAGTGTTTCTCATTATAGGTGCTGGCTTTAGGACTAAGGAACATATATTTTATTATGTTAAAAGGAAATATCCATTAATTCCTACTTTCTCGAGTGTTTTATCAGGAATGGATGTTAATTTGTTTTGATTCTTTCAGCATCTATGGAGATACCTGGTTTTTCTCCATAGACCTGTCAATATGGGGTGTTATATTAGTGGGTTTTCTAATATCAAACCAATTTTGCATTCCTTGAATAAATCCCATTTGATCATGGTTTATTACTTCCTTAATGTGGTGTGGATTTTGTTAGTATTTCTCATATTGATAGTGATATTGGGCCATAATTTTTTTATACTCCTCCTCAGGATTAGTCATCAGTGTTAATTCTTGTTTCACAAAGAATTAGGAATTTTTTTGTCATTTTTCTTTTTTTTTTTTTTTCCTTTTTGTCTTTTTTTACTGACCGGTAACGGGATCGCAACCCTTGGTGTCACGCCCGTACCGGGGATCGGCAACGGGACCGCAACCCTCAGTGTTGCACCCGCACCGCGCTCAGCCAGTGAGCGGGAACCGGTCTCCACATGGGATCCGAACCCTCGGCGGAAGCGCCGCCGCACTCCCAAGCGGCGCACTCTCCAGTGCACCACCGGGCCGGCCCTTTTTGTCATTTTTCAATGCTCTGGGAAACATGAGGCATCGGGTTTATTGGGTCTTTGCAGGTTTGTTACAGTTCCCTTGTGAGACAGTGCTTTTTTGTGGGATAGTTCCTTGATAACTTTTTGTATTTATTCTGTGCAAATTGATGTTTTAAGACCTTCTATCTCTAATGGGGCCAATTTTGATAAATTACGTTTCTTGAGGAAACAATCTGTTTTGTGGGTAATCACATTTCTTTGTGTAGAGATCTGCAGATTGGTATGTGTGTGTGTGTGTTTTCTGTTTCAGTGATTATTTTTCCTTGTCCTTATTTTGTAAATGTGAGTTTGCTCCCTTTTTTTTCTTTCTTTAAGTTAGCTAGTGGTTTATCTGTTTCTTTAAGTTTCTCAAAATAAGTAGGATTTTGATTATAGTTAGGTTTATTGTTTTTCTGTTCTCTGGTTCATTGATTTGCACTTTTATCTTTGTTTTCATTCTTATTATTTCTTTTGATTTATTTTTTTCTTAGCTTTTGATCTAAAATTTTCATTTTAATTCTTTTGATAAAAATGTGTTTTTAGACTGTATTTCTTTGATCACTGCTTTAATTTTCTATAGATTGTAATATGTGGTATTCTCAATTATGAATATTTAGAATTTGTTTTTAAAATTTTTTATTTCCCTTTTCATGGAAGAGTTGTTTAAAACAGCTTATTTTTTCCCTCATTTGAGAAGACTTTTTGTTATTTGATATTTTAATAAATTTCTAATTTTACTGCAGGGTATTTCTTGTTAATATGTCACTGTATGGAAGTTCTGATGCTTTCTTTATGACCTAACATATAACAGATTTTTTGTGTGTGAATTATTCATTCATGCTTGAGAAGAAGGTGTATTCCTTCTTATCAGGGTGTAAGGTTCTATATAAAGCTACAAGGTGTACTTATTAGGTTATTTAGGCCTTCTGCATCATTACTTACTTTTGGTCCATTATGTATGTCTTTTACTGGAAGTGGTTAGGTTTGGTGAGACGGAAAAAAGGGAGACTGAGCCTGGTGCTGTTTCAGCCAAGAAGCTTTATTCCACCAGCGTGGAGAGGAGACTAAGTCAGATCAGTTCCCCTGAACACAGGGAAGCAGGGGTTTTATAAGACTTTGAGGGAGGGTTCTGGTAGAGTTATGGGCAATTTTGAAATCAGTGGTATGTAAGGTAACACAGTCCTTGTGGTCCAATAACATCTGGTTGGTTAGGGCATAGGCTTCTGATTAGTGTCACTGCTATATCTATCATTACTAAGCATTCCTCCCATCCTAGCCTGAATACCTGCTACCACAGCCCACAAGATGTTCCTTTGATGACAACGGTCATGTTTACCCCTTCCCAGGAGAGGAATTTCGCTGACCAGTTCCTGGAGGTGAAAAGAGAAAGGGGAGGGGGAAGAGGGTGGAAAGTTGGTTAACATGGCTGTGCTGATGTTAAGCTGGCCATGAGGCCTAATAGTGGTCTGTTAAGCTCTCCTATTATTAATGTTTTTAATCTATGTTTCTTTGTATCTATTATAGTTTTTGCTTTGTAAATGTGGCTTCTCTAATTTGGTAGTAGATAATCATGACTGTTATAAACTTTATTATAATTTAGAAAGTGTTATTTATCATGTTTAATGCTTTCTGGCTTCAGCTCTACTTCACCTGATAAGAGGATCACAAGCCCTACTTTATTGTTTCTGTTTGCCTGGTGTTCCTTTTCCTATCACTTTATTTTAGCCTTTCTGAATCACTTTGCTTTAGATGTCTCTTGCAATTAGCATATAGTTGCTAAGGTGGAAATCTTTTTTTTTTTTAATAGGTGTGTTAAACTCATTTATATTTATTAATATAGCTGATGTTTGGTCTCAACACTGCCATATTATTTATGTCATAGTTGCATTTTGTTATATTTGTCCTGTTTTTTCTACATGGTATGTTTTCACTGCTCTTTCATGATTTCTTTTAATGCTTGATTTTTATTACAATGGCTACTTTTGTGGGACCAAAAAAAAAAGATAAACTCATTGCTGGCTAGGTGATGTTTTAAGTTCTGGTCTTCTCTAATATACATGCTATTTACTTTTCAGAGTCCTCAAATAGCTGGGCCACGTGTTCTGTCCAGATGTCGTAGTTGCATACAGTGGGAAAACAAGGGTGGTGTGTATTTACTCCATGTTACCTGGAACTAGAACCATGAAACATGTCATCTTAATACTAGCAGCTAGGGGCAAAGTGTCATAGAGAATCTCAGTTGTATGTTGTCCTACATTGTTTGGGTCTGAGAAGCTCTGTTTTTGCTTTTGATCCTCAGTAACAGAAAGTCTCAGTAATCTGAGCATAAGGCATGTCAAAGCTTCTGAAGGAAGAAATCAGTGGTTAAGTCTGGGCTGTCTAGCTGCTTTTTGTGCCATAGTTGACTGCCTCCTGAGTTGTTTTTGACTGAAATATAAATCAACTTAGGCTGTCGTAAATTTTGAATAACCCAAATAGTGAATTGCATGGCTTCTAGGGAAGAAAGGGTGCTGGTAGTAAAGTGGTGATTTTGTTATAGTTCCAAGTGTACTTTGTAGTCCCTATTGTAATTTGGATCAGGGCAGCCTGAGTTCCTGTGGAGAAGATGATGCCTTAGCTTTTTTCAGTGTACCACTGAGAGTTTGTGTTAGGGGCCCTTCAATGTTGTTATAATCCCAAAGGAAGCTATAGATTGTGCAGATGGATTGTAGATTATTGCCTTTTCTGTAAAGAGTCATATAGGATCACCTAGGACTATGGTTATCCCCTACAGGATTGAATTTATGCGATTATATTGGGGGAAAAAAATGGGTGAACTACCCATTTATGTCCTTTGAGTGTAAATGATCTTGTGCCAAATCCTCTCATTTATTGCTTTTTATCCTTTTCTCATACTTGTGCTTTACAGAATGCTATCTTACTTGAGAAACTAAATTCTCAGGACCAGGAAGTGAACATTTTCTTCCATACAGATTTCTTGGTAAGCTACAGTTTCTTCAGTCTTTTGAAATGTATTTTTTCTCTCCCAGACTGAATGGCATCAGAGTAGCTCCCATTGCCTGTGGCATTCAGTCCTTTTTCTTTGCCAGATAAGGAGAGAAGTAGAATTTCAATAAGAATTCATATGTGCACTTAGCACGTGCTTATTAAGCACCAGCTGTGTGCCTGGCACTATATATACTAGGAAAAGAGCATCAAACAAAACAAACATCTTTGCCTTATTTTAGCCATATGTAATAAACTCATAAGTGAATTATATAGTATTTTATAAGGTGATAAGTGCCATAGAGAAAAATAAAACAGAAAAGGGGGCTAGGGAATGCTGGGATGTGTAAGCAATGCCCAACTTTAAAGCGGGTGGTCAAGAAAGGCCTCCCTGAGAAGCATTATTTATAAAAATATTCACCGAAGGAATTAAGAGAAAGCCATGCACACACCTGGAGGGAGAAGGCTGTAGGCAGAAGAAAGGAAGGGCTAAGTTCCTAAGGGGAGTATGTTTATATGAGGAACAGCTAGGAAACTATTGTAGCTGTATTAGAATGTGCAAAGACAAGAAGAAATGTCAGAAAGGCAATGACAGGGACTGGTGGGACAGCTCAAGTGGGGACTCTTGGGTCATTGGGAGGACTGAGTGGGAAAGGAAGCCATTGAAGAGAACAGAAGAACATAATCTGGCTTTTCTTTTAACAGGATCACACTGGCTGCGGGGTTGTGAATTAAAGTGTAGTAAGGACAGTGGTAGATCATTGGGAGGACTGAGTGGGAAAGGAAGCCATTGAAGAGAACAGAAGAACATAATCTGGCTTTTGTTTTAACAGGATCACACTGGCTGCGGGGTTGTGAATTAAAGTGTAGTAAGGACAGTGGTAGAGGGATGGTGTATTAGTTTGCTATGGCTGCCATAACAAAATACAATAGTCTAGGTCAGTTAAACAACCAAAATATATTTTTCATAGTTGTGGAGGCTAGAAGTACAAGATCAAGGTTTCTTCTGAGGTCTGTCCTTGACTTGCAGATAGCCAGCCACCTTCCCACTGTGTCATCTGATGGTCTTTGCTCTGGGTGTGCATCCCTGGTGTCTCTATGTCCTAATCTCTTCTTATAAGGACACCCATCAAACAGTATTAGGGCCCACCCAACAGCCTCATTTTAAATTTATTACCTTTTTAAAGACTCTATCTCCAAATACTGTCACATTCTGAGGTAGTGACCAGTGGGGATTGGGGCAGGTGGGGTGGGGCACACAATTCAGCCCATAACAGATGAGAGCTAGTTAGGAAGTTGTTATAATAATGCAAGTGAGAGATGAGAGTGATTTGGACTAAGGTGGTAGCACCAGAAGTTGGTGAGAAGTGGTTGGATTCTGGATGTGTTTTGAAATGGAGCTGACAAATCTGTTGATGGCTTGATTGTGGGTACAAGAGAAGAGGGCATGATGACTCCAAGGTTTGGGGCTGAGGAAATAAAGGATGAATTTGCCATAAACTGAGATGAGGCAGATGATGGGTGGAGTAGATCTGGAGGTCAGCCTTTTTGTTGACTTCCTTTGACTACAAGGCAAGAGCAGATAGTAGGTACTTAGCTCTGTAAACTGAATTTAGTAAAAGAAAATAAGAGTAGTGTTCTTTGTGATACTTTCGGCTTTGAGGATTGATTGTGACAGTGCTTAGTACATTGTATATTGTTGTTAGTGGTTTTTCTGATAACTGTTTCCTTAGAGGCATGTATAATCAAAGCTGTGTTTTCTATGGATACCTGCCATTGCAGGCAGTCCCTTAGAACTCTGAGACCCACTGCACAAAATCAACAGGGTGAACTCTGTGACTCAGCATCTTGGTAATTACATAGAATAGTCTTCATTCTCCTATATCATGCGAACAGAAACATGCTAATTTTAAAGATACTTTATTGGCTAGCAAGGGTCATTCAAAGGGTCAGGTTTGTGTATTTATTTCCTAGCATACCCATTACCAAATGAGCAAAGAGAAATGGTCTTGAAGTCTAAGGAGTTCTGTGATGTTATGAAAGTCACCTGAAAAATGTAATTTCTAAGACAATTGAGTAGCTCATGGAGATATGATAGAATATTTCAAATGTGGGATTCACAGTCATTGTATTTAACAAAAGTATGTCTGTTTCGTTTAGCATACCTACTTCCTTCTCTCAATGACTATTTGACTTCCCTACTCTTGTTAGCCTTGCAGCACATTTTTCTCCCATTCTCTCCCTCTGTGGTCACAGTGCTACATTTCTTGTGAATCTGTATGTCTTGAATCTGAAGAAACTACACTTACTCCCACCCCATTCAGTTCTTTTTCCTATCCCCTTAAACTAAATTTTAGAACATGTCTGAGTTGGCATTTGAAGCCTTGGTGTATCTTTTTCTATTTATAAGTAACTTTCTTATTACAAGAGCAGTCTCTGTGCCTTTCACAAGGAAAAGCATACAAATTACTGAATGAAAATAAGAAAACTGGTTAGCAAATTGACAAAACAGAAAGTCATCCATCATCTCTACCCAGAGATAACCATGTTAGTATCATGTCTTCTAGATCCTTTTGACTCACTGTTTTCTCTGAGTGCAAGGTGTTCATTTGAGTTCTGCTCCATTACACTTACTAGTATGCTATATTCAATGAGCTTTAATATTGTTTTTATTTACAAGTGCATATGTAGGTACCAGTTCAATATCCAATTTCTTGGAAACTAGACCTTCTTGAGAATGTAATGAACTGTGTATGTACTATCCCCCCAAAAAATGTACATACACCAAACAACATTTAGCAGTCAATTTGAAAGGTTTCATACCTTATCTAGTAGTCCATGGATGCCAAATAAGAACTTCTGTTCTAGGGCCGGCCTGGTGGCGCACTGGATAAGTGCGCCGCTTGGGAAGCGCGGCGGCGCTCCCGCTCGAGGGTTCGGATCCCACATGCAGACCGGTTCCCGCTCACTGGCTGAGCGAGGCGCGGGAGCAACGCCGAGGGTTGCGATCCCATTGCCGGTCCCCGGTCCAGTACGGGGGCAACACTGAGGGTTGCGATCCGTCCAGTACGGGGGCAACACTGAGGGTTGCGATCCGTCCAGTACGGGGGCAACACTGAGGGTTGCGATCCGTCCAGTACGGGGGCAACACTGAGGGTTGCGATCCGTCCAGTACGGGGGCAACACTGAGGGTTGCGATCCGTCCAGTACGGGGGCAACACTGAGGGTTGCGATCCGTTGCCGGACACGGAAAAAGACAAAAGACAAAAAAAAAAAAAAAAAAAGAACTTCTGTTCTAGGTTTGAGCACTTGCTATACTCCAGGCATTGTCCTAGGTGCTGGGGAAACAGCGGTGAATGATACGAACAAAAAAATCCCTTTCCTTTAGTGCCTTACATTCTATGGAGAAAAACAAAACAGGAAAGGAGAGAGGGAGTGTTGTTTGTGTAGGTCAGCTGAGATGGACATGTATTATTTAGAATAGGATGATAGGAAATGGGCCTCACTGAGAATGTGACAGTTGAACAAAGATTTGAATGAATTGAGGGAGGGAGCCTTGAAGATATCTGGAGGAAGAGCACTTCAGCGTATATAAAGATCCTGAAATAGGGGTGGATCTGGCATGTCTGGGCAACAGCAAAGACTCAGGGTGACTGGAGTACAAAGAAACTGAAGAGCAAGGAAATAAGTCAGAGTAGTAAGTAGGAGTCAAATTTCTTAAGGGTGTGTAGGTTTCTAACAGGAATAGTTTTGGTAGAGAGGTGAGGGTGAATGTCTAACTGGTGTTTGTTCCAGAAACCTTGGAAGACAGGAATTGGAGAAAACAGATTGATTTCTTTTGAGGAGTTTTGCTGTAAAGAGGAACAGAGAAATGGGACAGTAGCTCAATGGTGAGGTGGCTGAGAGTTTTCTTGTTGGTTGTGCTTTTGTTTTTTAGAAAAGAGGCAATAGCCAGTTTGCTAATTAGAATGATCTGGTAGAAAGGAATAAAATAAGACAGGAGAAAGAGGGTAGAGTTTCTGGAATGATGTCCTGGTGAAGAAAGGGGGTGGAATTAAGCATACAGATAGAAAGTCTGTACTTGGACTAAGTAGGGACAGTTTGTCATCCATGGTAATAAAGGGAAAGACGGAGTACATGACCACACTTACAAGAGGTTGGTTGATGTGGTGGTGGGAGCATGTGGAAGGGTTTTTTTTGGGGGGGGAGGTGTGTGTGTGTGTGCGCTCGTGCACAAGTGTGCTGTTATTGTTTTATTTGCTTGCTTCCATTTTATTAGTAAACTAGGAAGCAACATCATCAGCTTATACTTCTTAAGTGAAGGATGGGGTACTGAATGTATGAGAAGAGAGAGGGTCAAACATATGAAAGGATCACTGAAGAGAGTAAGTGTGAAGGATATGAAGAATGGCTTCTCCCTTTGTGTCTCTCATGTTTCTTCTTTAGTATATTGTTGGCAGTTGATAAACAAAGTGACTCATTACTCCCTCTGAACTTCTCTCTTGAATCAACCCTACTTTTTTCATTAGCTTTAGCCTACGTTTGTGTATTTCCTGTTGGCCGTGACATCTTTAACTCATCTAGTGGTGTAGCCCTAGAGAAAACAGGTCCAGAGTAGGCATATCTCAAATCTCTCTTCCTCTCTCTCTCTCCTTTTTAATCTCCTGGTCACTTGAAGATGTGGTTGTCTCCCTTATCCAGGAGGAGTGAGAGCATTTGGAGCCTGAGCAGAGAGCCCTTTGCATAATGTTACAAGAATTATATCCTTATAGTCTTCCTGTGTGTAAGGACTTATTTTTTTAAGATGCTCAGTCCTTACATGTTTTTATATGTGTGCATCCCTCTAAGCTTCAGAATGAGAACAACAAAAACATTTTTCCACAGCTTTTCACTATACAAAGTAAAGCTTAGTATAAAAGCTGTGTTCAAAGCCTAGGCTTTTATCTGTGATCATGCAGGATTTTTCTTTTTGAGCAAGGTTTGTGCTTATATATTCATACCAAATCAGAATCTTAATCTTTATCATGATGACAGTGATGATAAGAGCTAACGCAGAATGCTTACCATGTGATTTACAGTAATTATCTTATTATTCAACTCAACCCTGTAAAGTAGTTTCTGTTATTAATCCATTTTAAAGATGAGGAGACGAGGCACAAAATGGTTAAGAAGCTTGCCTAACATCACACAGCTGGGATGATAGAGTCATAGGAACCTTTTTCTCTCTCTGGGCATGAGAATTGTAATGGTCATTAGCCACTTCCTTCCAAACATTTTACAGAAAGGACTGCAGAGATATTCATTCACAGTCCCTTTTGGTTTGATTTCTTCAACAAGAGGCATTCTAATTATTAGACCTGTCTTGACTTCTCAGCTGAAGCAAGGGCAGAAAGAAGAGCACTGGTTTTGAGATCACCCAGGTTCATAAATGAAAGAGTTCTTACTGGTAGTTTCCTATGTGTATTGCTGTTCAGTTTTATATTAGCAAAGAGGAAAACTAAATAACTGAATTCAATCCATGCAGAACCTAGAAGACTTAATGGACTCTGATATAGAATTTTTATCTTTTCTGCAGTGATTTTAATTTTGAGAATTTTTTCTTTGTTATAGAAATATAAATAATATTTCTACTTTGTCTCACAGGATTGGAAAAACCAAGTGTATATGATGCTGGAAACTTGTAGAGGTGAAGTGCTCATGACTGAAAGGCCTGAAACAGATGTATCTTCCAAGTTTGGATCAAGAAAATGACTATGAAGGCAATGATGGGTCAAGAAGGCCGGTGGAAAACTCCCTAGTTGAGAGCGATAGAAAATGTACATTTCAGAAGAGAGATGTAATCAGAGAACTCAAAAAAGGAAAATACAACATGTATGCCCTCAGAAGGGTAAAAAGATTTTTATTCATGTGCATGAGATCCCTCAGTTAGATGATCAGATATACCAGTGCCTTGAACGTGAGCAAAACCTCTGTGAAAACTTAGCTCTTATTATGTGTGAGAGAACCCATACTGGGGAGAAACCTTATAGATGTGATATGTGTGAGAAAACCTTCATCCAAAGCTCAGATCTTATTTCACACCAGAGGATCCACAATTATGAAAAACCTTATAAGTGCAGCAAATGTGAGAAGAGTTTTTGGCACCACTTAGCCCTTTCAGGACACCAGAGAACACATGCAGGTAAAAAATTCTATACATGTGACATTTGTGACAAGAATTTTGGTCAGAGCTCTGACCTGCTTGTCCACCAGCGAAGCCATACAGGCGAGAAACCGTATCTGTGTAGTGAGTGTGATAAATGCTTCAGTCGAAGTACAAACCTCATAAGGCACCGAAGAACTCACACAGGTGAGAAACCCTTTAAGTGTCTGGAGTGTGAAAAAGCCTTTAGTGGTAAATCAGATCTTATTAGCCACCAGAGAACTCATACTGGTGAAAGGCCCTACAAATGTAATAAGTGTGAGAAAAGTTACCGACACCGTTCAGCCTTCATTGTACATAAAAGAGTTCATACAGGAGAGAAGCCCTATAAGTGTGGTGCCTGTGAGAAATGCTTTGGCCAGAAATCAGACCTTATTGTGCACCAGAGAGTCCACACAGGTGAGAAGCCGTATAAATGCTTGGAATGTATGAGAAGTTTTACTCGGAGTGCTAACCTTATTAGGCACCAGGCAACTCATACTCATACTTTTAAATGCCTTGAATATGAGAAAAGTTTCAGCTGTAGCTCAGACCTTATTGTGCATCAGAGAATTCATATGGAAGAGAAACCACATCAGTGGTCTACGTGTGAGAGTGGCTTTCTCCTAGGTATGGACTTTGTTGCCCAGCAGAAAATGAGAACTCAAACAGAGGAGCTACATTATAAATACAGCGTATGTGATAAAAGCTTCCACCAGAGCTCAGCCCTTCTTCAACATCAGACAGTACATATTGGTGAAAAACCATATATTTGTAATGTGGGTGAGAAAGGTCTTGAGCTCAGCCCTCCCCATGCATCGGAAGCCTCACAGATGTCTTGACCAGACAAGAGTTATAATACCATGGAAAAAAAATGTATTTACATGTTAGCGAACTCATTAAGATGAGGAAACTTAGGCAAATCTCGGACTTTCCTTAGAGCTCAGACTTCAGTGGAGACCAGAGAGCCTGCGATTGTAGGAAATGTGAGAAATGTTTTACCCAGAGAGCTACCTAACAAAATTATCACTCACTTCAGTGAGAAACTACAAATACCCTGAGTTTGGGGAAACCTTTAGTCTAAGCTCAAGTTTGATCATTCACAAGAGGATTCATATAGGTGGGAAACCTTAAGATGCAGTGCGTGTGAGAGAGCTTTCTAGCAATGCTCAACCCTCCTCATTTCAAGAGAATTCACACTGGAGAACAAGCATTTTTAAATGCCTTCAGTGTCAACAGTGCTTCTGACAGTATGCACATCTCATTGGACATCAGAAAACCCACCCTGGGGAGAATCCCCAGCAAGTGTGAAAAAAGCTTCTAACAGAACTTTGACTTTCTTACCCATCAGAGAAGTCATACTGGTGAAAAATTGTATATTTGTCTCTAGTGTGGCAAAAGCATTAGTTGGAGAGCCTTACTTGGGTTTGCTCCCCGCCCCCCCCCAAAAAAAAATTAGAGGAAAGACCTTACAGGTGTCTGAATTAGAAAAACTTGTCAGTGATCAGCTTAGTGTGGCAAAAGCATTAGTTGGAGAGCCTTACTTGGGTTTGCTCCCCGCCCCCCCCAAAAAAAATTAGAGGAAAGACCTTACAGGTGTCTGAATTAGAAAAACTTGTCAGTGATCAGCTCTTGTGGTTCATCAGGGAACTCACATAAATGAAAAAACCCATAAATACCATGAGTCTGAAAAACAGCTTTGCTAGAAGCTCCTATCTTATTGGGCCCCAAAGAACCCATTCTACAGAGAAATATGCTCCAGTGAAAGCTCTTCTTACCCAATTGTGGGTGAGAACCTGTGTACATATAATATGTATGAGAAGAATTGTTCTTATAGTTAGTTGACCCATGTGGTAGAGATGACTTTTAATGGAGTCAGTATGGAAATAGTTTTCTAGATACCCACAAGTGTGTTCTGGGAGGAGCTAGGGCAGGTCAGAGTAGCCCTGACGGGTAACTCAGGTAAAGATGCTTTTCTTTTGTCTCAACCACTTAATGATTACTTTCACTTTTTAAAATTCAGAAATCAAATAAAGGAAAGGACTGTTACCTTGTGGTAGGTGTGGCATGTGTTACTGTTGGGGGAAAGGAGTATATTAACTGGCTCTGTTGATTTTTTTACCTTGTCTAGAATGGAACTGGTGTGTTGATAGTAACATGGGAATCTTTCGCTGGCAGTGAAAAGAACTAAGAAGCTAAAGAGAAGTTATCCTAGATCAAAACTCTTTCAATAGTTTCTCCTTTCAGGACCAACCTCATAAATAGGCAGAATACCCAGCTTTTTACGTAGTGTGAGTTGAGGCATACCCTCAAAAGTTTTCTTTCCCCTAAAATATCTTTCAGGTTATGAGTGGTATTTGAAATTTCAATTTTAGAGATTCATTTCTTTTCAACTCAAAATGCAAATTCCAGGATATAATGGCTATGATGTTGTTAGTAGCCATATTTTTGTTACTTTGTCATCTCTTTCAGTGATAGATACCCTCAATCAACTCCTAACAGAATGGCTAGGGGAAGACTGAAGAAGAATTTGAGTGAGAACAAAGTAAAAACCATGTAATGGTGCGTTATTAATAGAGGAGCAAGACTTTCTTATTTTAAGTATCCTGACTCCCAGAGTTGATACTTTCAGTCCATTATCCTGATGTTCAAAGCAAATAAAGCCCCATAATGATACGTCTTTCCTTTATTTAAGTTCTGCCAAGGAAAGAGAAAATACCTTTTAATCCCAGGGAAAGGAATGCAGTCGCCACAGATGAGGTATATATTTAGCGTAGAATTCAGGATTCTGATTGCTAGAAGGGAAACGTAGTTGGTGGATTCATCAGCAGTTTAAGGATAAGCACTTGTCTCTAGTATAATGGTATAATTATGATTGTCTTCAACATTCTCTAGAAATGCTGTAACCCAGGGATCTACAAATGGTCACTTCTCAGTTTCTTCCCTCATATTAAAAGACATTTAATACGAATACTTCAGATTGTGAAGTATTTGGGACTCTGTAGACTGGTGCATATTTTGTTGGTAGTCTGAGTCCTCTGGATTTGGTTTGATTTATCTCATCAGATCCCTGAACTCCAGAGGGTATTGGCATTTGGATTCATGGATTTGACCAACTGCTACCTTGTGTATTGCCCAAAGCTTTGATACTAATGACTGATGATTATGATAACCTTAGGGCCAATGGATATAGCTCGTAGTGGTAATAAGGAATCTGATTCTAGGTTATTTTTTCTTTTTTCTTTTAGGAAACAGATTCTGGAAGTTTTTTGATCTGACGTGTTTCAGTAATTTTTATAAATAGCTCTTGTACCATGAAAAGTTGCCCTGTGTGATAAAACACACAAGGTGTATTTTTTCTCTTTGCTGAAAATCATGCCTATCACTAATATATGTTTGACAGTTGTAATACTTAAAATAGTATTTGGTGTATGGCATGGTGGTGATGAAAATTAAGCTTTATGGCTACTTGTTAGTAGAAAGATCTTGGAGAAGAGGACAAAGTTGGTATCATTAGCAGGGCAATGAGTTGCCCCTTCTTTTGATTAATCTTACTAGTAATTGTCTCTAGTCTTTAAGAAAGTTAGCAATGGAGCATCCCTCAAACAGAGAACTTTGGGGGTGTGAAACAGGTCTGAGGAGTTTTAATGATGGGAGGAAAAGGTGTTGGTATTATTTATATAGCATAACCTGAGGTTGGAGAGGACCACTTGGGAGCCTGTAATCAAAACTAGAACGTAACTTCTGGGATGGATAGAGGTTCTCTTGAAGCAGTGCCAACCTAAATCTACCTCGGGTAAGTATTAGAGTAACTTTTTCAAGATTTCAGACCAAAACAAGACAACTTGTATTCAGTCTATGTATTCCTATGCTTTAACGTTTTTTGTTTTCTCTTAATTCTTAAATAAACATTTGTTCTGAAAAACTCCATTTTTGTCTCCACTCTACTAAGAGAAATAGCAATTTCCCTATACTTGCATTAGAATAAAATTGATATTCACATGGCACTTAGGCCTGGTGGTTGTGATAACCAGTGGACCATCTCTAGAATTCCAGGAGTTTTTGATGCTGAGGCAGAGAAGAATGGAAACCTGGGAGGAGTATTGACTGTGTTCTGCTGTACATCGGATCCTTTTAAGCTTCCCACTGCATTACATAAGTAACACAGGGAGGGGTAATAGTTTGAAATGACCGTATTTTGGGCTCTGCAAAAATTCAGTAGCAACAAAACCATCTATTGTTTCTTTGTGTGAGAAACTGACACCCTCAAAATTAAGGAAAATTTTGAATTTGCAATTCCCAGTAGAATCCAAATTTGGCTTCAGTTCTTCCCTTGTCTTAGTATTTGTTGAATTGGAGTGGGGTGAGGGAGGTGGTATAAAAACAGTTGCACTGACTTACCCCTGTTATAAAGTGTGCCCTAGTTTCTATCTGTTTGCTCTGCCAACAGAATAGGTCCCAGGATTTTAAGTGGCTTTCATTGTGAGGAAAGGATAAGAGGGAGATATGACAGTTGGGTAGATGAAAAGGGGAAGGGGAAAAGGTGCAGCTTCAATTCTGGCTTTTCTCTTTCCTCCTGATGTTCATATAGAATGGTGTAGCTAGAATGTGGCCTGCAGCCTTCATGCTTTTTACCTCACTTAAGATGATGCTACATCCCAGCACTGAGGTGGACTGTGGTCAGAAATATTTCTGGGAAAAATACTCGTTAGCCATGTCTCCTTGAAGTAACTGAAAGAGAAATGATTCTCCAGCGTCTCTGGGGAAGAAGTAAGGGAAAGGTGCCTTCTGGTGCACATGTATGCCACAAGTGTTTCTTGAAATGGTTCTCTACATTGCTCCATCAGAAAAGAAACTTAGTGCAATTAAAGCTTCCTTGTCTCATTAATTTGTCATCACTTTACCCAGGCAGAGATTTGGGTTTTAAATGGGTGAGGGAGGCTAACAGTTAATCATTTCAGAGGAATCCTTTTTCCATCTGTCAAAGGAAACAAAAAATGGGGGTACATGGGTTCCACTGGTAGTGACTGATAACATCAAATGATTGATGGTTCAAGCCTAGTGGGGGAAAGAGAGGACTCTTGGAGTAGCTCCTATTGTTTGTCTTTTGTACACATTTTGAAATTCTCTGCAACCCTCTTATTCTGAAGACTCTTGGCCTTAATTGCTTGTCTGGGAAAGTTGTGTTAATATATCTGAAAACGAGTTGAATTTGTCTGGAATTCTAAGTGGACCATCACTATTGAATCTAGTGCCTCTTCTAAGTGGGGAGCCTCAGTCTTGCAGGTGGAAGAAGTTGGAGCTGCTTCAGGAAACCTGGGGGCAGTAGGTTCAGGGACAGCAAGGCCTTATGATTTACAATGGACAGTTTAAACCACACCTGTTTTCAATTTGGGCAGGGGATTGATAAGGAAATTGTATGGAACAGCTGCTGCTGCGGTGATCTGCTAATAATCTCTCGTGTCTCCTCTGTCGTCCTAAGCCCATATTCAGCCCTTATTCTCCAGCCCTTTACAGTCTCCCCACGCCCATAGGATCATTGACTCCACTAAGAAAAATCTCTGGCAGTCAGAACCCTCCAGCCCATTCCAAAACAAATTTCTTTATCCATCCTGCCTTTTCCCAAAGGAATAAGACTCCTTTAACATGTCAAACCTTTAAACTTTCTTCCGACCACAATCTCTGAAGTATTCTTTCCGTTATCTCTTCTGTTGATTTTGCCATTTATTTCCTTAACTGAGATTTTTCCTGTCGTCATATATGTGTAGATGCTTTTTCATTCCTTTAAAAAAAAAAAGTTTATGTTGCTTTTAATATGCTAGTTTTTCTCTTCTTTTTCTTCCTTCTGGATTTCACCAGCTCAAAACTGTACTGTCTCCATTTCTTAAGCGTTCATTTCTTAAGTGTTCTAAGTGTTCATTTCTTATGCTGCAGTCTGGCCTCTCTCCTTGATTCTCTTCCAAGCTACTTTCTCAAAGATCACCTTTGAACCAAAGTGGGAAATGTGATCTCCACCATTGTGTATCAGTTGCCTGCCTCTCTTTTTTTTTTTTTTTTTTTATTTAGCATCATAGTGTAGTACTGATTCTCATCCTGTCTTTCTGACATTTCTTCTTAACTCCTGTGTTGGCTTCTTTTTTCCCCTATCTCATAAAGCATAGGCCCCAATCACCTGCTTTCTCTTCCTCAGAAAATTCATTCATCTATATTGTGTATCTTCTGTCAAAATCTAAATAGTCTCCTAACTCTTGATCCCTGAAGTGCTAGTTTTGACTTTCCAGCATCCTCCTAAATCATTGCTCTTACAAGGTCAGGCCATGTAAAATACATCTCATTTTCATTTTCTCTGCCCCCTGCTAACCATGGACCCATGTCCCAATTTCTCCACTAGGATTGATAGCACCACATTTGCTGAGCCAAGAATTCTTTGACTCA